AAATTGGGGAGAACAGAGGCCATGGGGACAGGAAAGCCACGTTTTCCACGTGACCAACCTGCTGGACTGGAGGAAGGGGAGCACAGCACTCCCTGAGAGCCTGGCAAAGGGAATCCGTGAGGGAATTGTAAAAGCAAATCAGAGACTCAACTGCTCCTCTGGAAGAGATTAGATAACGCTGTGCAAAGAGAGAGAGGGGTGAAAAAGCAGGGAGGGCAGGAGAGGTGAAGGGGAGACACACAGGGGCAGAGGTCAGGGGGTTCCCCGAAAGACACGGGTGGAATGGGATGAGAAAATGGGAAAAGCACACACTGGGATTGGAGCCCAATCCTGAGGCATAAAGGCCCTACAATGAGGTGAATCACAGCTCCAGTGGTTTTTGATTCCTGTGACTGTTCTCCAAGCCAACCCAAACACTGATTTCCATGTTCCACTTTACCAGCACAGGTAGGAAGTGTTTCTTCTGCTGAAGCTGCCAAATGAAATCACACCATTCCCATTGAACACCTCACATCTAAAATCCACCTTCATTTCACGCCAGTGGCTGGGAAAACTCTCCTGTCACCATTTGCCAACTGCAGATTCCAGTGTCAGTAACTTCAGGTAAACAGTGTAAAAAAAATAAAAAAAAAAAAGGAAGCATGAAAATAATGGGATTTAAGTAAAAGGACCAGTTCTCTTTGGTTCCAAGCTGAGGCATTCATAGAATCATGGAATGTTTGGTGGGAAAGGACCTTAAAGTCCACCTCATTCCAAAGCCCTGCCATGGGCAGGGACACCTTCCACTCCAATTCATGTTTGTGGCAACTGCAAGTCTATAAAGGTCCAGACTTCTGAGCTCAAATAAACATATTTATTAGAAGCTAAATGACCTAATAGATTTCAAACCTAAATATAACTATTTAAAACTACTTAACAAGCAACTTTCCTGTTGGAATTAGAATGCATTAAATAATAACACATGCTAATGAAATTAGAATGCATTAAATAATAATCTCCTATAATGACACTGTAATACATTAAATAATTCTAACCCAAAGGGAGCCTGATCTGCCATGGAAAACATGCAGGGAATAAAGTGGGGCACTCCTGCACTTCTCCCAACGCTGGCCAACCCCAGCCATGGACCTCACACAAGTCACATACACTAACTCCCAATATGTTTTAAAATATAGAAGCACTGAACTAATGTAAACTTCAAAAAAAAAAAAAAAAAGGCCTCAAAACAGTCTTTTATATTTCTCCACACAACATTTGCTAAGAATAAACCCTTTAGTCATGCTCTAGAAATCTGATGAGTGGTCCAGAGCAATGGTGGAATTGTTTTAGAAAATGCAAATAGTGCCCAGTGCCAGGATTATCCCGACATGTGGTGCCTGCAGAGCCGTGGGGATTAAATGTTTGACAGTCTCTGTTTGTGGATAATGGAGAAAACCCAAAACAAGAATCCCTGTGAGATGCTTGTAAACTTAATTTAGAAAAATCAAAGAGCAAAGCAACTGATTACACAGCTCTTGTTTACAGAAACAAGTTTTTAATTTGCCAGCGGATTTGTGAAAGCCAACACAAATGATAATCCCAGAATCCCAGGATGGATTGGGTTGGAAAGGACTTTAAAGCTCAGCTCATTCCACCCCCTGCCATGGGCAGGGACACCTTCCACTCTCCCAGGTTGCTCCAAACCCCATCCAACCTGGCCTTGGACACTTCCAAGGATCCAGGGGCAGCCACAGCTTCTCTGGGCAACCTGTGCCATGGCATCACCACCCTCCCAGCCAGGAATTCCTTCCCAATATCCCACCTAACCCTGCCCTCTGTCAGTGGGAAGCCATTCCCTGTGTCCTGTCACTTCAGGCCCTTGTAAAATTCATGCAGAGGATGCCCAAGAACATTTTAGGGTGAAAAAAATCCATCCATACAAATCCAACAACACATTCCTCACTATTTTCAAAACCACACACACCAGCTCCATGGAATCACTCTGTTTTATTTTGAATTTCCAAGTAACTGGAATAGTTTATTCCAGGTAGCAACGGAAGGTGTTTGGTATTAATGAATTTGTCAACCACAATTCCCCCCAAATTTTTTATGCAGTGCATGGCCAGCACATTGAAACTGGGACCTGGGAGTTACACACTCAGCTGGCACCACTGGAATTCAGACAGGATTGTCATGGGCACCCCTGTAACAGCAGTTCAAGTCACCAGACCTCAGTGACCACAAAAAAATATCGTTTCCTTCTGATTCACTAACTTTGACAGGACTTTTGTAAGGAGTTTCAATATCCTCACTCCCTACTCAGATTTCCAGCACAGCAGCAGAAGGAAATAAAGTGTTTTAAAAGCAAGGGCAAAATCTCAGCTAAAACAGAGCCAATGTGTGAAACTGCTTTGAATTTTTCAGCTTACAAGATTCCCAGGTGCCAGTGCTAAGTATTAGGGCATATAAATATATAAAATCTCATTTAAAGATGTCTTGCTATTTAGTTTCATTTTCTACTACCTAAAAAGACTCACACTGGGAGGTGGAATTCAGCACCACCAATTTTAAAGAGTATGGCACTTAAATGAATACAAAATATTGTTCTAAAAGACACATTCTCACCTTTCTTTCACATGTTAAAGTAAGAACTGATGTATTTTACCATTTTTCCCCCATTCATCATGTGTTAAGGGTCAACTGTGTAGAATTAAACTAAAGCGAGGGTTTAAAAGTGTTTGATAGAAAGAAATGACCTTAAACTTGCTGAAATCATGATGAAAGAGACTGGAGCTCTTCAAGGCATGTTCTGGACTTAAAATCCAAGCAGCAAGGAAATATTATATTATCCATCTCCATATCTTTCTGTGTTTTAGAATGAAAGACTTCTCACACCCCAACATGAACAAGGAAAACCCAAACCTTTCCTTCTTTTTTCTGCTCCCAGCTTCTCTCCTTCAAGAAATGCTCATTAAAGGGAAAAGCTTCCAGGAATGGAAAACAGCATCCAGGACATTAAAAATCCAGCTTAGGAGTTCAAAACAACCCCCTACTCCAGGTGTTTGACTAAAAAGTTTCTAAATTTTCTTTAAAATTTTCATCTCAAAGCAACCTGCTTGGAAAGATCACAAGTAATCTGGGATGAGTGGATTTTTAAACCTCTTCAGGACAAAATTACAAACTATTTGAAAACAGGGGTGGTGATGTTTAATAAATTCTGTACTTAACACAAAAACTGATGCTCTCACACTTGGGATTCAGTGCCACACTCTCCTAGAAATAACTGAATAGTTATCTTGGATAATCTCACTATCCAGTGAAAAAGTAAAGCTTTTGTAAACAAAACAACCCATAAATTTACTAAAATATTCTGGTTTACTCCAGTAACACTCCAGTGTTTATTTTAAAGACTATCTTTTAAAGAATGTATTCAAACTGCCAGTGTCTCCCTGCCTGCAGGAGCTGACAGTGATACAATTTTGGGTTGACTCACTGATACTGTGTGTTCACACAAGAAATGCACATTAAAGTCCCATTGCTTCATGCTCCAGGGTGGGTCCTGCAGACAGGGAACTTTCCCCAGGGAAAAAAAACCCCAGGATATAAGCAACTACACATTTTTACAAGCAGCCACTGGTATCACAACTCTTATTTTGGAAAGTTGAAATTCCTGCTCTTTCCACCAAAACCAAATGCACAAACAGAAAGAATGGGTAAGAGCAGCATTAATCCACCAATTTTGACACTATTTGTATTTTAGGATGATGAAAACACCTTTAAATTTTAAAGAAACCACGTCTGGGAGGATGCTGGTTGGTGTCAAGGTGCTGTTTCAGGTTAGATTCAAGAGGCTAGGAAAAGAACAGTGTGGAATTCTCTAAGACACTGGAAAGCAGCTACTACAAGGAGGAGATTTAGGAATAAAGAGCAGAAAATCCAGGATTCTCCAGCCAGGCAATCAGGGGTTTCTCTGCCAGCCAGAAGACTACTTAGCTGCCTTGTAACACAAGTGACAGAACAAATGCAAATCTTCTATTCTATTGAAAAAAAATCAAAGGGAATCGTTGCCCCACAGCATCAGTATATCTATTCTTGGGAAAAAAAGGAGAGAAACCACTCATGAGTGCCTGCAGGACCTGTATCCCAGTCCTGCCCAGCAGCAGAGATCCAGATCAGCTGGTAACTACGAACTGTGGAATAACCCCCAACCTTTGGAAATGACACACAGCAGGACATCGCTCCCACCAACACCAGTTTAACCACTCCCTCCACTGCTGGGGGTGTCCTTCCAAAGCGGGGTGGGCTGGGGGCTTCCCTGCCATGCAGAACACATCCTAAAAGGATAAATTTATCTGCTGTGAGGTTTCCAGCACGGTTTATCTCGTTCATGGAGCGGGAAGATGTGTCAGGAAGCACAGGGTGGCTTCACCCTGCAGGGCAGCCCGGAGATCTCCCGGGTGTTACCCGAGTGTCAGAAGCACCTTCGGGTGGGTGCTCAGCGAGGGAATGAGGTTCAGGAAAGAGCCTGGAAAAGCCGCCTGGGGGAAAGGGATGCAGGATGCCATCCCACTGCACATCAGCAGTGTTACCAGGCTGCCCAGAGAAGCCTTGGCTGCCCCATCCCTGAAGCGTCCAAGGACAGGTTGGAGCAACCCGGTCTAGCGGAGGGTGTCCCTGCCCATGGCAGGGAGAGGGGCTTCCAGGTCCCTTCCCACCCGGACCACTCTGGAATTCCAGGATTCCAGGACTGCCCTTCCACGATCTCGCCCTCCCCGCGCGAGCCCCGGTTAAGGCAGGGAGCGAACTTTAATCAAGGGAAGGCGAAGCAGCGCCCGCCGGGTCCTGCACCGCCAAGCAATCCGCACACGGGGCAGCTCCGGGGACACCGGGAGCGCCCGAACGGAAAGCCGGCGGGAGGCCGGGGGGGATAACTCCGGGAGGGCCCCTCTCCTTCCCAGCGCCCCCGGAAGGCGCAGGTGGCCGGCGCTGCGCCTCCCTCCCCGACGCGGACTGAGCCTTGCGCAGGGCGGCACGAAGAGCCGCCCATCGGGCCGTTCTCCCTCGCCCCAGGAACCGTGGGCTGCGCGGCGGCTGCACATGGCGGCGCTTGCTCGCATCGGGGCCCGCCGCGCCGGGCGCGTCCGCTGCTCACTCCGCCGCCGCGCCGCCATGGCCGGCGCGGGGGCCTCGGGTCGTGCGGGGCCGCGGGCCGGGGATCAGGCGCCGGGGACAGGGCCCCCCGGGGACAGGGACGGGCTCGGGCGGGACGGTCGGGCGGGGCCGGGCCCCGCTCGCTGCGGCACCGTGCCGCCGCCAGCCTGCGGCCGCGACGTGAGCCCGCGAGCGCCCCCGCGGGGCGCCGCGGGAGCGGGGCCACGGCCGCTCCGGGCTGAGGGGTGTTCCCGGCCCGCGGGGATCGCTACCCGGCTGGAAGGTGCGTCTCCCGCTGGAAGGTGGATCCCGCCTGGAAGAGTGGATCCCCGGCTGGAAAGGTGGATCCCGGCTGAAGAGATGGATCCGGCTGGAATGGATGGATGCCCCCGGCTGGAAGGTGGATCCCCGCCTGGAGGCTGTTTCCAGCCCCACGTCAGTGTGGTTGCCATCCCGACCCGGAGGCTCCCTGTGGTGTTTCTCCCCACCTGGAGGCTGTTTCCCGCCGTGCCTGGGGACTGTTTTCCTCCCTGCTTGGAGGCTGTTTCCATCCCCGCTTAGAAGTTATTTCCCTTCCTGGAGGCAGTTTCTCTCCCTTCCTGGAGGCTGTTTCCAGTCCTACCTGGAGGCTGTGCCTCTGCCTTGGAGCTTGTTTCCATCCTTACCTGAAGGCTGTTTCCCTCCCTGCTTGGAGGTTATTTCCCCACCTGGACGCTGTTTCCATCCTTACTTGGGGGCAGTTTTCCTCCCTACGTGGGTGCTGTTCTCCCTACCCAGGGGCAGTTTCCATCCCTACCTGAAGGCAGTTCCTCTCCCTGCTGGAGGCTGTTTTCCTCCCTACCTGGTGGATGTGCCTCTCCCTATCTGGAGGCAGTGTCCATCCCTATGTGGAGGCTGTACTTCTCCCTACATGAACGCTGTTTCCCTCCCTGCTTGGAGGTTATTTCCCTACCTGGAGGTAGTTTTCCTCCCTACCTGGAGGCTGTTTCCATCCTTACTCGGGGGCAGCTTTCTCCCCTGCCTGGAGGCTGTGTTGCTTCCCACCCGGAGGCAGTTTCCCTCCCTACCTGGAGGCTGTTTCCCTACATGGAGGCTGTTCCCCTACCTGGAGGCTGTTCTTCTCCCTGCCCAGAGGCTGTTTCCCTCCCTACTTGGAGGTTATCTGCCTACCTGGAGACAGTTTCTTTCCCTACCTGTAGACTGTATTCCTCCCTACCTGAAGGCTGTTTCCATCCCTACAGGTAGACTGTTTTTCTCCCGACCTGGAGGCTGTTTCCATCCCTACTTGCAGATTGTTTCCCTGCCTGGAAGCTGTATTCCTCCCTACTTGGAGACTGTTTCCATCCTTACCTGGAGGCAGTTTTCTTCCCAACCCCGGAGAATGCCACTGTCACTGTTCCCTCAACCCACTGACCACCCAACTCCAGCCAAACTTCCCCTCATTTCCCTCCCAACAGCATCATATCCAAATCTCACACCTTATCTGCCCCCTACTTCCCATTTTAAGACTGGTCTACAAAAGGAGTGGATAAATTAAATCAGGGGAAAAAAAGTGCCTCTCTGCCAGTGAGATCCTTCTCTGTGACAGATTTCCTGGAGGAGCCCGGCACTTCCAGAGGCAGCGACAACTCCTTGTACTCTGTGGCTCAACTTTCCTGCCCCACCAGAGCAGCCTGGGAGGTTCCCAACAAAACACTTATTTCTGGGGGAAGACACTTGATCCTCAAACTGTGAGGAAGAAGAAAAAGGTATTTCCAAGTGTGACCTCAGGATAATTGTGGTGTGATCCACGGACCTGCAGTTCCATGGATCTGGGACCGCAAACTCTTCCCAGAGTCAGTGGTTTAGACAGGGAAGGAATTCCTGGCTGTGAGGGTGGGGAGGCCCTGGCACAGGTTGCCCAGAGAAGCTGTGGCTGCCCCTGGATCCCTGGAGGTGTCCAAGGCCAGGTTGGATGGGGCTTGGAGCAACCTGGGCTGGTGGAAGGTGTCCCTGCCCATGGCAGGGGGTGGGACTGGATGGACTTTAAGGCCCCTTCCAACCCCAAACCAGTCTGGGATTCCGTGATTCTATGACAATTCTGGGGAACAAACTGAGTTTGTCCACACATTTATTCAGAATGTCAGGAATTCCCATCCCACGTGCCATGACAGGCCCAGATCAGCCTCAAGACCAGTTCTGTCTAGTGAGGAAAAGCTGTGAGGTGTGAGAAGCACAGATAAGATAATTTAGGAAGACAAGTTTGGTCATGTGTCCCCCTCCTAAATAAAGTAATTCCTGTTATATAGAGCAATATCCTGCCTAATTCAGGGGAGAATTAGCAAATACCAGTGAAACTTTTCTCTGAGTCAGGAGAAACACATGGATTTTACAGCAATTTAAAAAAAAAAACCCACACTATTTTAATCATAATAGAAAAAGGCACATTTATAAAGTCATCAAAATTAATTAGACCCATTTGGAAAATAAATTAATACATTTTCACGCTTCATGGGCAACAAGATTCATGTCTGCAACCCCATTATTATAATCTCTGAAGTCATTTTTTTTAACGACAGTTTATAACCTTTATCTCTAAAAATATTTATATTCCACAGAATGCTACATCAAGATTCGTAATTTAAGTTTCAATTAAACTTTTCCCCAAAATAACCATCACCTGAGAGGAAAGAAACACAGGGAAATGTGCTGACTTAAGATTCCCCCTGGTCTCTGTCTGCTTTACATTTTAATGTTCCTTATTCTGTTAATACATGTCAGGGCCACACCTCGTGTGGGAGGAAGTTGGTTTTGCAACCCTTTTGTAGGATTTACTGTTGAGAGGCAACACTTCTGGCAGGGAGGGAAGAGAGGATTGTTCCACAGTGAGGAGTTTTACACATCCCTGTGGCACTGGAGCATCTGGAATAACTGAATCTCTGCCTCCTGGTATTTGGGGCTCGGAAGAGCGAGCAAAGCTTTGCTTTGAGGGGGTTTGAATTTCCAGGAGTCACTTTTCTGGTAAAGCAGGTGTCACCAGGAGAAAAAATTAAGAAAAAAAAAAGGCAGGTTAAGCCCTTTTTTCCCCTCAGAAGTGTCTCAGCTCTGCACAGTAAAACATCAGCCACACACCTGCCCTCCTGTGCTAACCCACACTTCATGCACAGAGGAGTTCAGAAAATCACTTTTTCATGAAAAATGTGTGTCAACTTGCCTGGTGCAAACTGCCCACAATGATCTGTGTTAGCCAACATCCTGTGAACTTCTGCTTTACAAGTATCAGCAAGCACTTTGTCCCTGAGGCCATAAAATTCTGGTTTATAGCAACTCTGCAGAGCACACCGAGATAACTCAGCTCAGGACCAAGATTATTCGACATCTCTCTCTCCCCAGACTCTTCCAGGTGTATCTCTGATAAAAGCTGAGTATCAACAGAGTTCAGAAGAGACACCAGCACTGTCTGAGCTCCCCCTGTGCCAGCCCTGTGGGAAATGGGAAGCCTCCCTGACTCACCCCTGTTTGGGCTCCCAGGGAAACAACGTGACTCAATTAAGGCAGGTTTCTGGAGCTTCCCTCCCTTCACATTTGCTTTTGCAAAGACCATTTCCTCTGGATTGCTCAACAGCCTGCACTAAGACCAGCTCCTGTTGCATTACCAGTATTCAAAGGTAAAAAAAAAACAACAAACCCACTGAAATAGTTTCTGATCAGTGCTGATTCCCAGCTGTAAATTAAATGAAAAATGACTGTTTATGTCCATATTTCCATTTTCAGCTCTATAACAAATAGAGGCAGTGATCAGACAGCGTATCTGAATTGCACATCTAAATGGACTTGGGTTTGGTAATCCTTGCTAAGCTTATTTTTCTGTGAAATACTCTACATTCACGTCAAAGGCTCTGAACATTGTTTTCAATCTCTGATAAAACCCTTAATTCCATATCAGTAGGACCCTTAAGCAGGGCTTATCCTTCTATTCCATTACTTTCATGTAATCTAGAGGGCTGTGGGCTCCAATTTAAACGGAATCAGAGAGAAATCACCCAGAGAACCACCCCGTGCCTGTGCTTTTTCAGACCCACCAGTTCTCAGAGGAGGCAACGTTCCAACCAGAGGCACGGGAATGATATGGATAATCCCACCACAGAGGCTCTTCCTGCTCCACCTGTGGTTGGAGACCCTCACGTTGTGCTGGTTCCTCAGCTGGACAAGCCCCCCTTGCAGGTGGCTGGACCTCACCAGGCACCACAGCTCCTTAATCCACGACGCCGAGAAGTCGTGGGCAAAGGAGAACATTCCAAGTGCTGGTCTGGAAAGCACCACATCTCCTGTTTGATCCGTGCCCTTGAGAAGTTCAGTCAGTCCCACATTCCAGAGGGAGAGTTCAGTCAGTCCCACATTCCAGAGGGAAACCTCCCCACGGCTTCCAACCCCTCACAGCTCAAAGCGCCTCTTGGCTTCGTAGGCGATCATGCCGGCGATGGCGAGGGAGGAGGTGGCAGCGGGGGAAGGGGCGTTCCTGACGTGGAGGACCCTGCTCCCGAGGGCCCCGGTGCCTCCATCGAACACAAAGTCATCCACCAGATTCCCGTCGCTGTCCAGCGCCTGAGCTCTCACTCCGGAGGGGCCCCTGCAAAACCAAGGAGGAGCTCAGGAGACGTTTTCCTGCTGCTGGTGGAGATCAATTCCCTTGGGAAGGGGGACAGGGAGGAAGGCAGAGTGTGGAGTCAAAGCCTTTTAGGGGAGCTTGAACACTCGTGAGGCAGAGCAGGGGATGTCTCACAGTCATGGGATCGCTGAGGTTGGAAAAGCCCTCCCAGACCATCCGGTCCAACCTGTGGCCGATCCCCACCAGCCCAGAGCACTGAGTGCCGCGTCCAGTCATTCCTTGGACACCTCCAGGGATGGGGACTCCAAACCTCCCTGGGCAGCCCCTTCCAATGCCTGACCACCCTTTCCAGCAAGAAATCACTGCCACAGAACAAGGGCAGGCAGCCAAGCAGAGGATCTTCTCTGTCCTTCCTGGTTGAGAAGTTACTCT